CTGTATTAGGACCATCAGTGCGTGACCTGTGGGATGCTGCAGTGGCTCAGTCAACCAGAGTTACCTACTCATCAGGAGCACAACCTGCTTCAAGAACTTCATCCTTTGTATGGTGTAAACAATAACCTAGCAAGTGTGTTTAGCGACGTGACAGAGGAAATACTGATCTTCTTCGTTACACATTGTTACTATAACCTCAGGTTGAAATACTCTACAATTAAACTATATCTGTACGGTATTAAGTACCATTGTACAACACTGGGACTAGAAAACCCACTTGTGAATTATCATGGACTACCACTTTATCGACTTCAAACAATATTACGGGGTTTGAAGAAGTTGCAGGGAACTCCTGCCAAACCGAGGTTACCAATAGCATGCAAAATATTGAGGAAATCATGTTCAGCCTTTCGCCAAGGGGTTTTCGACCCTGCCACAGACATTACTTTGGAGGCAGCTTGCTGTGTAGCTTTCTTTGCATTCTTAGGATGTGGAGAATTTACTTGTCTTACAAACTCATTTAATCCTCCCATCCATCTGTGTATAAGCGATGTGAAGGTAGCACCTGATAGTAACAGCATCGACTTGCACGTTAAGGCTTCCACGATAGACCCCTTTCGTCATGGGGTCACTATTCACCTTTTCCACACCCATCAGCAAGGGTGTGCAGTTGCTGCTATCATCAGAATGTTGGCAGACAGGTACATTATACACATATTGCCCTGGTGTGAGGGAGACCTGAAGAGTTATTTCCCCGAGATAAATCATGTTTCTTGAGAGCGAAGCCCAGGGGAAACATGATTTGTCGAGCGGGAACAACTCTTCAGGTCTCCCTCTCACCAGGGCAATAACTGTATAATGTACCTGTCTGCCAACATTCTGATGATAGCAGCAACTTAAGTATTCCGAAATTCCATCTGTGGAGTCTGTGTTATACACATATAACAAAAATACATCAACGTTAGACAATGCAACGATCCCCTGTGTTGTCACTGTTGTGACTGACTTGTTCGCCCTTATTTCATTAGTTCTGGTAGCATATATATATACTACAAATACCTAATACTGTCAGTGTCTTGATTTTACATCAAATTAAACAACAATAATAGCACTTCAAGTTCTTCAGCTGTTCTCCTGTTCGCAGCTATTGTTAATGTTTGTGGTGTCGTCCGGAACACATCGGGCGTTACACTCGGAATTTCTCGGCCGATACGGTCATCTAACAATTGAATAGGCAAACAAAGACCGGAAGTACACTACAGCTCAAAGGTTTGGTTGTTTTCTTCTTTCTTTCCCTATACACAAAGATAAACATATGTAATGTAGATAATCTTTCATTAATGATATTTTAATGACACTACCGATGTCAACAATAAATAGAAACATTTTCGTGCCTTTACATGAAATGTTGGATGCTGCTCTCTAGCAGACAAATTGGCTAAATAAGGAGATTCAACTCAAAACTGTTATCTTTATTTATACTGGAATCGGGGCGAGGTGTTCCGAATGCGGGCGTTAGAGAGTCTAACAAAGAGCGACAACTCGTCCGATATTGTGTGAGGGGTTCCGAGAAGCATACTCGACAGGGAAAATAGATCGCGTGAGGGACACTCGATGTTTTATAATCCTGTCTCGTGATGTGTTTAAACCAATCAGACCCGCTGTAAAATCGATGAGGAATAATAATACAGGTTGTACCCCTACAGACCCCATTTCTCCATCAAATCAGCTCCCTTCAGGTCACTCGCCAAGTTTTTATCGACAAGTTATGACAGACCTTGGATCGATTGAGTCTCAATAACACTTTGTACAGTGGCCATTCTTTTCGTTTAGGAGCCGCGACTTCCGCCGCACAGTCTGATGTCCCCGGTCACCTTATCAAGGTGATTGGCCGCTGGCAATCAGATAGCTACTGCCGGTGCATTCGCACCCCTCATCTTATTCTATGCAAGGCTCAGGTATCATTATGCAAGTTAGCATCAGATATTTTGTGAATCAACGTTTTCACAGTGTGCTCATTTCATCAGATCATCAGTGTGTACCCCCAACTGCCCAGTTGTTTTCTGATGGTCAAGCTATACAGTCATACCATCCTCCTTTCCCACCACCACCACCACCCTTATTATGTTTATCATTCCTCCCTTGGTTGACTTGATCAACTGAAACAGCTTCACTCTTCACTAGTTTGGCATTTGGCAGTAAACTGTCATCATGTAATAACATGTAACATGGATTATTAATGGTGCCAGTCTGCTACTATACACCCAAAATCGGTTAATCCAACTCCAGAACCTAGGGTTAGTTGGACTTTATGCATCAACTCTATATGGCCCAGGGTAAGACAGTAAGTTGAACTCCAGGCCTAAGTGGCGTGACTCCCAATTCTAGCCGACTTTCGGACATCTAAGTGACCAGGCTATGGTGTTCCATGAGCTTCGGGTCAGTCACAGTCGTCCAAGTCCATGTTCGAACCGGGTTGTTGGCCACAGCTTTTCAGCACTTTGATCTTCCAGCACTACGGGGTCGATAGCTAATCGGCTGTTCTCCATCAGGTCCGAGGGAGGTACTGCTACGGATGATAAGCACCCCTTATCTGTAGACTTGTTAATAAGTTCTCAGAATTTATACTACATTGTTTTGTTATTTGTTGTGTAAATACAAACAACTGATATTTTCTCAGTGTTCTGAGAGAAAATATGAATCGGGTCCAGAACGGGATTCGAACCCAAAGCCCCCGATTACAATGTGGTTACTTTTACAGAGTGATATTTCTGGTCAATTGTGTATATGTAGTTCTACTACCGGCAAAACACTAGAGAGTTCCACTATAGTTGTTCATACCTACAGTAACCTCCCTTAATTTCGTTTGGGGTATAACTTTGGCGATTGGTCACGAGTGCTCGGGTGAACTTTTATTGATACGGAGGTTCGGATTCGAATCCTTGGCCCGTATTCATGGAATCATTCTCATGCTTAAATTCATATTTTGTGCTCAAGCCAAATTTCTTATATTCGGCGATAAATATGTATAATGCTTCACGTTTTGACGATAATTTTGGAAGATTTAGGGAGAGACTTGAAGCAGACCTTCGTTTTAGGGTTTACACCTGACCATTTTACCATGTCATTTGATTTAAGCGAGATACAAGAACGTTGATTTGAGTAGAGAATCCATGCTGAGCATGAGAACGGTTTTATGAATACGGGCCCTGATCTTGTCCCGCTTCATCTTTTAAACTCAGGACACTGTTATTAATTTGTTTTTGTTTATTTCATTTTCCGTTTTAGCCAGTTTTTCATTGAAATTTTGCAAAATGTTTTTTTATTTCTTTTCAGAAATATGATTAACCAAAACTATAGTCATGCAGGAGAAAATATCCAAATCATAGCTGATGTTTTTGGCACTGTGGTACGGGGATCCTTAATATTGAAACAGAGCTGCCTATATATAGGTGACTTTCCTATCGCGAAGCACAGGGATATGTCACTAATTGAGAATTTGGTGATTCGTTAGAGTAGGTATGCTCATATATCGTGATAAAAAAAGTTCTATTAGATGTTTTAAGGGTTTAGATTAACAATGATGGTGCATTTCGACCCCATAAAACGTCTAATAGTACTACATGTATCTACACATGACGATGGGCCCAACATAGCTACTATGTATCAAATTCTCTGGTCCCTGTGCCACGAATTAGATTTAATGAAGAAAGATACAGAACTTGTTTCGGAACGAAAATACGGATTACCGTTGGAAAACCACAACTATTGAAAACAGATGTCGATTGGAACGAATTATAGCTCTAATCAAAGATGAAAAATATGCATTTTCAAAACTACATTATATGGAAATCCAACTTTTATTTAACTGATATGTTCGTTTCTGACGTTAGTCTGTTTGATATGCCCGATTTGAACTTCGTCGAAAACTACACGTTACTTATAAATATTTGTCGAGAGAGGTTTAAGACCTGTATCATGATGAATTCTTCACCAAAAGTAATATCCATGTTATAACATCAACTACCACTGTGTTTTAATCCCTCAGGTCCCCCTTACATTATCAAATATTAAATTATATTTGATTAATATTTTATACATTTTAAGAGTTTTCTAGTCCTTACAGGTCGCCAGGTTCCTGTGTCTTTGTTTCAGACCAGACACAGCTATAGAACGAGGTTTCTGATTGGTCGGACTTACGCCGGTTCAGATTCGACCAATCAGAACGTTCGTGTAAGTACGGGACAGCTCGTGAAGATAAAAAAATGTGTATATTTTGTTCAAAAATGGTTAATTACAACTCCGTATAAATATTTTCTATTTTGTGTTGACAAGTTATATGGTGGTGTAACACGCGAGTGAAATCTGTTCACAGACTCAGCATTTCTGCTCACTGGCCCGAGCTTGACCAGTCCGTGGGGGTCACTTCTCTCATCTGCATATGGCTCCCATTGGTCAGTCTTATCAGATGGTTTCGAGTTAGCGTTCCTTCGAGATTTCTTCACTCTCTTTTAAGATACTGAGGTGACAGGATCACTTTTTATTTGTCTTGAAAAATCCCAGCCAACCCACCCAATAATATCCATTTTAAGTGTCCTCACAGCAGTTTAATTTGTGTTAAGTTAATTAATCGCATGTCACATGTATGTACAGTATATATCTGCTCATTATTATTTATCAAGATTCGGTAAACTATACTGATATTATTTGCTGCTAATTGACTATAATGTGAATTTGACCAATTGTGTATATATAATATTTAAATACTGTTTGATAAAGTGCACCCTGTTACATATATATATATATGGGGAAAGGGCTTTACATAAGTTGGACAACTTGTGCCCGATCCCTTTTGTATATGAGATGCAAATAAAAATATGTTTAAATCAAAAATATATTTGGGGAAGTAATTTCAAAAAGTGGCTTCCATACCTACATGTACGTAATGCAGTCTTAACCAGACCGAGGCTCGCTCGTGTCTCCATACTTAGTAAAACACCACTGACATGCTGTCGGGTTGTCATTTGGAGGAGAGTACAAGTGTTTGACGCGTGCCCTAAGAATTTGAATATACTTAAGATGATTCACCACACAATATTATGTTATCTTAGCGTTTGTTTTGTTTTCATCGGAACAGTAAGCCCGGCATATAGTAAGTATTAATATTTAATGATACTATTTTAAGACATTGTAAGATCGTGTCAGTATATAGTGTACCCACATGTACACTACTTATTAATGTTCCTTACAAGATACTTGCTAAGATGGCTAATTGTAAGCGGTCGTTGTATGGCGAGAACGTTTCCAGTGTTAACTATGGCAAAAACACAGGTGAATTTAAAATGTATGTTTTAGCTCAGAGCGATGTTTTATTTTACCATAATTAATTTTGTTGCCAGCGGTTAGGTCGCACAAAACTAGCTAATGTCTTTTCTACGCCGTATATTCATTGTTAATTTCATTTTAATAATTAAATTCCTATTTTATTGTCAGTGAAGGATCTAAACAGGCTATAGAGGATCCCCTTCTCCCAGCCTGGAGCGGGAATTGTATCTATAAAACATGTATTTTCCGAAATACTCTCTCACTCCCCGACAAACACCACCATTACCACCATATCACCAACAGGAACCTGGAAAATCGGTTATAGTTGGTAAATTTGGACATAAACTAGTTCGTTCCGAGTAATATTAGACGTTACGTTGATGTGTTCAGGTAACCTCTTTGTAATATACCATTAATATTGTTTATGTCTAAACACACCAACTGTAACACATTCTCGGGTCCCTGTGCCAATGCGATTCTTCGACGTCATTATTAAAACAGAAAATTGAAATCTTAATAGCGAGGTACCATTGATTTTTGCACACTTAAGGTCAAAATATAATATAAAATTCAAACAAACAAATACGTCATGTATCACGCTTTTACTCGGAGCAGACGGATATGACGTTATGTGCGAGATCTAACACGAACTGTGCGGCAAACAAACCTCGTTATAGAAAGCATCTGTTACCGTATCTATTTGCATAACAAATGTCGTGAATAGAAATCTTTTATTGGTTTACCTGTGATCAGGAATCAAAAATATGGAAATTTCGCGAGAAATTATTACCTTCACGAATGAGATAAACATAGCACAACACTTCAATATGAATTTAGAGACATTTACTACCAATATGGATTTTCAACTCACATCTGCTTCCGACATTGTTTTGTTTATTGCATACTTACTAATAAATACGGTGTTTATTTTGTATATGCGATACGACAAAATTGCTCTAACCCATATCAGCCCTCGCCGTATCACACCCCAAAACCCGTATCAACCCGCAAAACCCGTATCACATCCCTTTTGGAAATGTTTAGTTTTTCAATATTTCAAAAGAAAAATAGATAATAAGATAGAAGCTTTTATTAGTTAGTATGTGATAACAGAATAAAGCACGCCCTTTTCCATATCACACCCAGTATCAACCCTCGACCAATGTCAGCCCTCGGGCTGATAATGCAGTCTCTGGTTGATACTGGGTGTGATATGGAAAAAGGCATGTATTATTCTCTATTTATCATATATCATTATTAACATTACATATATATTTATGCAGCGCGCATTATGTTGTTTGCTTGCAAAGCTGTGTCATTCAAATAGATCATAAAATGCCTCTTATGTTCTTTTTTAACTTATAATTTATAATTAAAATCAAAAATGCCGGCCTTATCGACAGTCCACACAATTTCGTTCAATAGTTTGAACAGCGTATTGTCGCGTGCTGATTGGCAAACAAAGTAGTACTTTGACATTTTAACAAACACTTCAAATTTATTCCACAATTC